ATGATGCTTAATAAAAAAGCTAAGCAAAAAAAAAAAAAAAAAAAAAAAAAAAAAGGGTGTAGTAGAAGTGACTGTAACAGCAAGTTCAGCGAGAGCCTTCTTAACAGACCCTTTTGGGCGACAGTTAAAATATGAAGTCTTTCATATTATATTATATTATTTTATTATGTATAGTGTACTCTCGAGTATCAGGTTTGTGGATTATCCGTGAGTGGCAGTGCCAGCGGATAATTCGCAAACTCAACGCTATGCGGGAGAGTGTGTAAAAATATATATATCCGAGCATGCTCTAAAAACCAATAATACTCGCTCGATCATGGAAAATAATCTTAATAATATAGAAATCGGATATTTATTTAATTATGAAAAAGTCAAAGCAATAACTGAAGTTAAAAATGTGAAAAAAAAAATCGAAAATGTTGATAGAGAGAAGAGAGAGAGAACGGAGGACGTGGGCACTATCCCCTTATCAAACGGTTAATTAGCATAGCACCACGTCCAAAACATCCAGGAATAATTATATGGCGATTGCATTAATCATTCGACTTTCAGTGCTTGACAGATGCGGATACTGTTTCAAATGTTGCAAGAACAGAAGAGTCAGGAGTGATACTAAGTAACACAAAGGAAGAAGATCCTCACAATGACAATAGTCCCGAAACGGCAGTGACTTCTTTCGAAAATTTATTGGATTTTTTTCTACAAAGGGGATTCGAATATAATAATAAAATAGCACTCGAAAAACAGGCAATCAAATTCGACAAATATTTAAACATTTTCAAAAAAAAAAAAAAAAAAAAAAAAAAAAAAGTAAAATTACTGATTTTTTAAACAAATACAATATACATGAAAACTGATAGTTTGTATGATCCGTGTTTTTTAATTATTCGTGACGTGCTTCCAGAGCATTAGCCCAGATAATAGAGAACATACTGTTATCTGGTGTGTGAATAAAATATAAAAATTTTTTGGTTTTAAATTAATAATAGCGGAAGTAACCGAAGCCAGTTAAGTTATATTGAGAGTAATGCCTCTCTAACAACAGAGAGAACGACACCGCTGTAATTCTTCTCTAAGTACGATGCAAAAAATACGATTCATAGTCATACATTTTGCAGTCTGCTACGATGTGGAATCCACCTAAAAAATTCGATAGAAAAATAAGCTAATTCTCTCAAATTATATCAGCAACAATATCTCTCAAATTATATAGCACGCAGTTTTTAATGATTTTCGTCTTTCCAATCAAACGGTCGTAAAAGCTCAAGTTCCATCCACTATTTCATCTATATTTCCATTTTAGTCGATTAAATGTGGCAAAAGATTCATCGTAATTGGTCAGAAATATATAACGCAAAAAACAAACAAACAAACAAAAAAAAAAAAAAAAAAAAAAAGAAACAGACATTCTTCTTTACATGTATAGATTTTGTAAAAGTTACAAATTTTTGATGAACAAGCTGTACGATTTGAAAGCGAGCAATAGCAACACTTTTCGAAATAAAAATTTTTATCTCCAATGCTCCAGACTGTTGCCACTCGGAAGAATGAGTGCGAAAATGAGCGCTTTCAGAGTTTTTAATTAGTATTTCGGTTGATTAAAGTCGTTGATTAAAAACCGGCTTCCCACGAATTTTTGGAATCGGGACTAATGTATTTAATGTTTGGCAATACTAATTTTATTTCATCATAAAACTTAGAAATTTTTTATTAACAAACTCTAAGATTTGAAAGTGAGCATTGGCAGCAACTTTCGAAATAAAGCAGGTTTTTATCTCTAGCTTGCGAGACTGTTTCCACTCGGAAAAATGAGGGCGAAAATGATCGTTTTTCCGTGGTTTTAATTAATATCTCTGATTTTAACTTTTTTTTTTGAAAAAAAGTGGATTTCGACCTTTTCTAGGACCCAGAAAAGAATTGTAGAAAGTTTGGTGACGATAGCTATAGTAGTGACTGAGTTATTAGGGGGCAAACAAACACACGTACTTTCTTCTTTATATATGGATGTATAGTTCATATACATTATTTATTACGAGATGATCCAAAACTTCTCACATTCGGTATTCCAAACTTATATAGAAATATATAAGCCATTTTAATCAAAAATAAAGTAGTACATATTAAGTCTATTTCTATTACATCCAGACATTACATTTATTTACATCAGGCAGTCGGCAGAGTAATTTTTATTTTGAACAGTGTGCAGTGTTTCAATTGCTGAACTTCAAAACTCTCGTTATTTACGCATTTTACCAAAAAAAAAAAAAAAAAAAAAAAAAAAAGCACTTGTTATTTATTATCGATGATGACGGAGCAAAGAGAAAATAGAAAATCAGAAAATACATCTTACTTTACTCCTTACTGAATCTCGGATCACTTACACGGTAATCATTATTCAGCTTAATTTCATAAACTAACGAACATTGTTTACTGATACCTGAATATTGAGGGCATATATATGCAGATCAAAATGAATTTAGATTTGTTGATGATATTGAAATAACACAGGAAAAATTAAATTATGATATTTGTTTTAAAGTATTTATTTTAAATGTATTGTATACACTTACACTAAAAACATATTAATTTATACATTATTCAACTGCTTAATAAAATAACATTTTGATGTACAGAAATAAAGGACCAAACATTTCATTATGTTGATATAAATTAAGAAAAATCAGTTTTTACACACTGCCAATTAATTATATCTAATAAAATATAAGCCAAATTTTCGTATTAGAGGTGTTCCTATTTAATGAAACAACCAATTTATTTTTTGTCTGTAAATGATCAACCGGAAGTGGTACTTTACTTAAATCCAGCTGCTATTAAAACATTGAATTGGCGGGTGGTCTTATGTTGGCCACATAGCAAACCTAAATCAAAACCTAAACTCAACATATAAACTGTACCTCCAATACTTGCAAACAGGTAAAACTAAGGAACAATCAAAGAACCAAATAAAGTAATTAATCAAATTAAAAAAACTGGGCACCTCGTCCTAAACTCGTTCTCCGAGAAAGATCCTCTGGTCTTTCCAGCAGTGTCACCTCGAACTTAATTCTGAATGGATTCAACATGATAGCTAGAATAAAATAGGATACAATTAAAAATATGACAAGATGACTTGGAGTAAGCTACAACAGACCGGCGATGGTTCTGTGCGTCATATCCTGAGGAGACTTGACTGCGTAGTTAGAAAGATGACACTCGAAGGAAAGATTTGTAGACAGACGTGGCCAAAGTGAATATGACTCTTATTGGTGGATAAGACCTAATTATTAAAATCATATTTCTCATCATTCATGCTCATGGGCTCAATACTCACCCAATAATTTTATAAATAGTATTACATTTTAGATAATATCATCATTTTAGATATTAACAAGGTAGAAGCTAGCAGAATAACGACATAATTACCTCACCAGAGGTATAATTACCTCATCAGAGGTATTTATACCAAAGTAGGTGCTTTTCTAGAGAAAAGCTATGATTGGTTAATGTTAGTTTTAGTTGATCTTTTTCAGTATGTTACATAACATAGAAAAATCTCGAATTTGGGAGAACAGATGAATTTAGGGGGAGATCGCCAATTTTTAAAGCAGCTATCGTATTTTGTTGTATCTTATATAATTTTTGAAGTAATTTAAATGCGTAGAATGAGAAATCGGGTACTTTTAACTTCTGCCTGTAGACATGGCTAAGAAGAGGCTGAGGGTGAAGGCTTGATGAAGCAGCTAACAAAACTGAATTGAAGATCCACTATCTCCATTTTTACACATCTCAAATCATCACTTTGGCAGACAAATTTACTTTTCAATTGTATTTGAATACAGCAACATCTTATATACACAGATAGAGAGATACTACGTCATTTCAGCCAGGAAAGCATAAACGGCGCTGAATTGTTTGCATAGCAGAAGTCAGGAAGAAAAAAGGGACGTAGTTCCTCGCAAAGCCGTATTTATACTACATAGGTGCAGATAGTATTCTAGGCTATGATGGGTCAATATTAGTTTTAGTTACCTTTTTCAAGCAGTGTTATGTAATTTGGAATGATCTCGAATTTGGAAGAACAGAGGAATTTAGAGGGTGAGAATCAAATCTAGAATCGTTAATTTTGAGGTCGCCAACTATTTTTTAAAGCAGCTATCATATTTTGTTATATCTTGTGTGTGTGTGTAATAGGAAGACTTGGAGAAAGCTGCAAAGGACTGAGGATGGTTCTTTGCTTTGTAATAACTTGAACAGGCTTTACTGCGTAGTTAGAAAGATGACATTCGAAAACAGACGTAACGTATAGTCCACACATAATTTTATTCCTTGATAACTAATTCTTAGGACACTTATTTTTAATTTAATAGCATTATTGTAGATGCGCTATGCAGCCTACAATTTTATACATATTATATTTTTTGAATAATGGACAAGAGCTAACAGAGGATACGCAAGCGAACTGGCGTCTTAAAGGCTAGAGAGCTAAAGTGCGGTTCCGGTTTAAGTTGTTCATTAAAAGAAAATTCTCGAAATTTTAACTTCAAGTTCTTAATTAGTTACTTCAAAGTTTCGGTTTAGGTTCCATATTAGTTATGTCATCAACGTTACATAAGTCATGTGACATAGATTGATCTAGAAATGACGTAGTCCAGAGTGTTGTATTACATCATATATTAACCGAAGTTAAATATAAAATTTTACTACAGACAATAGAATCATATAAACTAATACTATGAAATCAGAAACCATAAAAAGCATTACTATGTTTAGAATAGAGAGTGGGAATTAAGGGGTTATAGATAGTTTAAATTATAATTTTAATTTACCTATTGTTTATCTTACGCATATATATTCTTTAAATGTTACTATTCACAAATTGAAGGCTTAATCCCAAAATAATTTAAATAATTTATGACTATAATTCTGTATTGTTATTTTCCTTTTGTGACAAGTTCGCAATAAAACGAATAAAAAATAAAATAATTCAAAATTATGCTTACATTACTTTTTATCCATTTGCAACTCTGTGTATATTTTTCAGCTTCTCTCTCCTTATACATATTATTATGAGTTCACATTTGACAATATCGTTAAGACACCGAAAAAAAAAAAAAATAAAAAAAAATAAAAAAACATTTTAAGCATCTAAACTGAGGCAAACATCCAAAATGCAAGAAGAGAACTTACCCGTCCACTGAACTACTTAACCGTGAAAAATCGCACCCATAGAGATAAGACTTGAAGCCGCAAAAGCTTCTTTACACTAGCCTTGAACTACATAACGAAAGAGTTGCTTTTATTTTTGAAACATAGCAGCCATTTTTAAAAAGATAATTCCTAAATTAGACCAAAATAATAAGAAAATATCCCTTGGATTTTTAAGCCTTATTTATGAGTCAAAGATAAGTGTTCTTGTACAAGAAACAGCTTATATACGGAAATGAAGCTACTTCCAATTCAGGTTTTCAGTTTACGTTGCACTTTTGTGGAGCCCGTTTAATGACGAACATTTCGACTAACAGTGCCTCTTAAATTAATCTCTTCGAACAAATAAGGTTTTGTTTGAAGAGATAAGCACTGTAATCTGAAATGCCGTGTAGAATATTCTTGCTCTGCTATTTCCGGGATATATGCATTTCCGTGTAGCTTATCTTTATAGAAGAAAAAAAAAAAAAAAAAAAAAAAAAAGGAAGTGTGTAGCTTGGTAGAGTTTTCAATATGTTACTCATGTAGTTTGTCAACTGTATTTATCGTGACAATTACTTTGAAAGTTGTATAAATTGAGCATTATTCCATTATTTGATGAAGTGCCTTATTTTTTTTAACCCTTAAATGCATAAATTTTTAGCCCAAAGTACGTTAGCCCAGAAGAGCTATTAATTTCGTTTTGGCATTTTGCGTTGGTCCACTGTAAATGTCGGTTCACTTTTCAAATTGTTGCCACCAAATATTAGAGCCCTGTGTTATATTTAAATAAATTAATGAAGAATCTGAATAAATGTATGTATATTTCTTGCATTGTGATCAAACAATGGTACCGAGAACGATCATAAAATTTTAATAACGTAATCCTCCACTGAATATGGGTATCTAGAAGCCCTAATTTGGAATTTGAAACTTGTTTCATAACCGATTTCATATTTTGTAACTCTTCAACGATTTTTGATTAAACTCAACGATTTCAAAGTGAGCAATGTGAAAACTTTACGGAAAAAAAAATTATCTCCAGAGCGCGAGACTGTGTATCGGAAATTCTAAAGATATGTTCATTTAAAAATTATTTTGCGATATTGCAATTGAATTGAATTTTATGGTTTAAGTGCGAAGAGCATGATATTTAATAAATAAAGGTAACACAAAAAAGATTGGAAAAACGTTCCTTTGGGCGAATTATAAAATCTGAAAGCTTTCAAATTTTATATTCTTCATTTTATTATTTTATTTGTTTAATTTTAGTCAAAAATACATTAGAATCGATATCTAGTAAAATAGGAAAAATACTAAAAAAACCTAAACTAAGTTTTTATTGCAATTTCTGAAAAAATATTATTGTTGCCAAATGGCTACATTATGCAAAAGAAATATGATAGGAAAATGTATAATAACAATTTTATGTAATAATACATTCCTTATAAATTTGTTCAAACAATTTTAAAACTTTGAATATATCAAAATAACAGCAAACACAAAATCAAAAATTCGTCAAGACAAATAATGTCCACACCCTACACATCAACTCACAATAATGACCGTTACGCCGTTAGTGTTACACTCAAACTTTCAAAACTGTATACTTAAATAGTATGTGTCCAATTGGTTACGCTATGAAGTAAGCTAAAATTTGTGTTTTGATTTGATTTACATGACTAAATATGAGTTTTTGCCAAATGGCAACTACATGCATTTAAGGGTTAATACAAGCCGCCTGTGCGGCTAGCCATCTAAAAGAGTTCTTTTAGATTTAGCCGATTTAGCAGCGTCATTGTTTTTACTTCCTTGTACGAAGTAAAAAGGAAGTATTGTAATCGCGAAAAGTTTCAGGCAGCATATTTCAACGCTATCGAATGCAACTTAACGATGTTTTCGCTTGACAACTGTTCGTAAAGATAGAATAAAGGACTCTTTCCCCCCAAAAATTTGTAAAACTAATTTAAAATGAATTCTAAAGATAATTTTTCGTGGCGTCTGTGCGTACGTACGTACGTACCTATGTATCTCGCATAACTCAAAAACGAGTAGCCTGAGACCGTTGAAATTTGTATATAGGACGGCATAACATGTAGATGGTGCATCTCGTATTTTGGTTTGCTATCGGCCCGCACCAAAAGTATATAAATATATTATTTATATACTCTAGTATTTTTTCTAGTATTGTATTCTTCTTTTGTTGCTGTTCTGTGCTAATTTCTTTTATACATCGTTTTGATTATTGTAGCTTGAATAGAACATATGCAACGATTAGATAATTCTAAATGATATTATTTGTGCATCTGATTAAATGTCTTAAATGATTGAAGGTAGTCTGTTAAGTGAGCTTAGAGCCAGAGTGTCGCTATGGTAACAATATATTGAATTTAAAGAGTGCATTTATTCTACTTGGTTTATCGCTATCGACGAGAGCTTTAATTCAATCCAAAGTTTAAATGAAAGCAAAAAAAGACCATAATTAATATACGACAGGAAGTCATGTGGTGCACACATCAGATTTTTTAGAATAATAGACACCATCGTACTTGGCATACGATACGTAAGAGCAAGTGTCGGATATGCATACATTCTTCATGCTTTTCAACAAACTCTTTGTTTTCACTTCAATGGTGATTCTAATAATTTTCTTCACTACTTGACTAACTTTGTAGAATCATCAGATTATTTTGAAGCAGGAGACGTGAAAAATGTGCAGTACCCTCACAGTATTCGAACACTGGACCTCTCGAATACGCTTCGAGTGTGCTTCCAATTACATCACGAAAGCATGCAGAAAGGAGAGAGAAAATATAAATTTTACTCGTTAAATTCATTGGTAATGAATTTCTAAAACATTTAAGAAAAAAAAAATAAATAAATAAAAATCAGTTATTAGCGCAGGTTATTCGCTGAATTGTAACAACATGAGTGTTGGTGCTCATGGGCACTCTTGTCGAACGACATAAACAAGTCTAGAGTGCACAGTCATGACTCATCGAACTCAAAGTGTCATACAGCAAACAAATATTTTCATGTCAAAACGGGAAGTATATCAAGTTGGACGTATTTCAAAGCGGACGTATACCGAAGTAACTCTGTAGTTTATTTTTTTTCTCGTGTAAGTCTCCATTTTTTTATACAGCGTTTTTTGGAGTTCTTAAAACATTTCCCTAATTTTATATTCTTAATAATTTCGTAAAACTATATGATATTTTATATACGACTAGTCTGTCTTTAATGCTTATTAAAACTGAAGCTAAAAATGAGAATGCAACTGATTACGAATGCAAATTTAAAAAATTGTTTAATCAAGAAAAATGCATTGATTCGATCTCAGTATCTGCCATTCTTCCTTCCTTGACGACATTAAATCTGCTATTCGAAAGATGGATTGGGAAAATTCAGAATTTTCTGCTTCGATCTCAGTATCTGCCACTCTTTATTCCTTGGCGGCATTAAATCTGCTATTCGAAACATTGATTGGCAAAATTCAGAATTTTCTGCTCCGGGCAATAGAGGGGATGGAACAGTAAATCACTCGTATTTTACATTCCGGTGTGTTAAACGCAAACATCTATCTGTTCTCCTGGATGCCAAACTGGATGAGTGGAATGGTTAGCGGAGGCTGACTGGCAGCACTAAACTACTGGTTGTCGGTTCGAATCCCGCGTTAGGCTTAGTTGTTTGAACATGCACTTACCTCCTCTTGCGAGTGTAATATAGATTCCCCCTTCTGCGGTGCATCTTGAACAATAATTCCAGCGATGAGACAGTTTAATGGCATATGGGCCTCACCCTTACTGATGAATGCATTAAAGTGTTTTAGGCGTGACTACTGCTTATCCCACATAATAATGTAATCACTCTAAACAAATAATTTAATATCTTCTCCAAGTATATATTTAGTATTCTTTTTAATAATAACATTTTCAATAATCAGTACTGAATAACTAAAATTTTCCCTTTAATTTCTTATTATCTGCGTGCATTGCAAATTATTGCCTTTTGAAGCATTTTTTTTCTCTCTAAATTGACTTTACAGAGTATTCTAAAAATATTGTACGAATAAATATCTCTAACACTCTTGGTTGTATAACCGTAGTTCCACTTAAAAAATAAGCTAAATAAATTTCAGACTACGATGATTTTTATTATATGTTAGCTTACGGCAAATTATTTCATGCTTTTTGTCTTCAAATAGAGTTTCAATTCATAAATTTCTTTTTATCGTATTAAAGAACTTTAGCTAGGTTTGATCCTGAAGTTTTTCATTTGAACGCAAAACACTTTAATTAAACGTACAAAAGTATTAGTAACGCATATTACCTTATGAAAACAAATCAGAAGCAGAAATATATAGAGAGGTTTGAAATTTTTATGTCACAACAACATTTCATTACGTATTAAATTTTATTCTGGATGCAGATGATAGCATACTCAAGAATCTGCAGTTAAAAAATTGTAGTGAGTTTGAAAACTGTTTTATTTAAGAGATGCAGAGTCTAAAATAATGCTTGTTGTAAAATATTGTTAAGAAGTTCGAGTAGAAATAACTTTCCAATGATTAACTTCTGCTCTTCAGAGTAAAGAATTGTGGTAACATTGATTATAAATGAAATATTTTTATGCAGTGTCATTTGGCAATAGCATTATTTATTATTAATTGAAAGCTATAACCAAGGAAGTGAAAATAGATGGAGTAAGTCTGACGTCACAAAAAAGAAACCAAGGAAATGTTAGTAACATGACGTCACGATTTATCATGGCCGCCATACAGCGCACGGATGCGAAACATATAGTAAGATAAAATTACACTGACTTTGAGAGTAAATATCAACGTTCGCAAGCTCAGAAAAGTGTATTTAGGTATATAATTTGCATAAAACACCATTGAAACTTCCACTGATCTTCCAAGTTTTACCATCTATGCATTTGTAAAACGGGAGACTTATAAACTTTCAATGACAAATAGCTAACATGTAGACAACACCGATTAGAATATGACCAAAACCAACCAGAAGTTTGCTCATGACACAGGCCATGATGAGTCTTGACGTCATACTGTCAAATTTCATAGTTTTATTTTTATTGCAAGAGATATATGAGGGGGGAGGTTTACTCAACTTATTCTAATCTCCTCGGCAATAACCAATTCAAAGAGGTCTGCTTTCATGTGTTTAAAATAACTATATTTTGATATGCAGAATATTGTTCCAAAATATTTATGAAAATTATGTGATTTCACCGATAAGCTACTTTCTGTGATTAAAAGAATGGCGAAGAATTTTGATTTTGTAAGTGTAATAAAAACCGAATTCCAGTAAGTGAATTTTCCGAATTTTAGTATTTCTATAAAGTTCAGTATGAAATCTGTATTTGTATATTCGTGGCTGTGTATCATAAAAGGTATATTTTCGAAAGTTTGGCTTGGGCAATATTTGTACATAGCTAGCAAAAACTTAAATTAATGATTCCTCGGCTAATTTCGATTGCACAAATATGACCATTTGAATTTCTCTTGGGGTCTGGAAGAAGCTTCTAAGTGTCTACTACGGATAGATTAAATTATTGAATTCATAGCACTTGTGAAAGCAACTTGTGGTTAAACCAGATCTAGTTGGCTGGTAAATTTGTATCTGTATATTTTAACTCCTCATAAATGGTAAGGTAGAATAAGTTTAAATTGTTTTAATTCTATATCTGTTTACTTGATGATTAGCTATTCTGGTAGTGGTAACACATTTTATAGAACCTAAATAGCACCTTGTTTGATTGGAATTAAGCTAGCTAAGTTATTTGTACCCACAGCAGTTTTACAATACAGCTGTGAACGACATTTTTTTCTAATAGCACCGAGTAAAATTTTAAGTTTCGTATATTTTTATTAAAAATTCTCACAGAATTTAAATTACCATGGGCCAACTTTAATGGAAAAAATTAAATTATCATGGGCCAACCATAGCCAACTTTATTTGATTCAGCTCTTAAACTAGAAATAGGAATCGACGATCAGCCATTAAATAGATATTTAGTCGAGCAAATACTTCGAAGCAACTGCATTTGTACGAGGCTTTTAATATGTGTTCTTTATGCAAAGTAATCAGTCCAAAGGAAAGTATTAGTATAGTGTATTCTTATGTTGTTGTCTAGTCAATGTACTTCATGGAAGAATGGTTGCTAGAGTCTCAAGGAGGTTGAACTACTTCCACCGCAGTTTTGAGGGAGAGCACCCCAGGGAGTGGTCCAAGAGTCTCCCACCTGTCTTTCCTACCAGCAATCCACACGAGAGGACTTTGGCTCGCCTAATATTTACAGTGTCCCTATGGTATATTCTTATATAAAAGGGATAATTAAATTTCGTGATTGATTAGTGGCTGTGAAACGTAAAATATTAATTATTTATTTTTCTTCATGTATTATGTATGAAAAAATATAAATATATAATTTAACTGAGCAAAAATGCAATATTAGATTAGATTCCGTAGATTGTAAATAAAATCTTATTCAGTCTAAGGGTTCTTTTTTTTTGTTGATTTATCTTAAATATTGGACTAGTATGTTTCGTTTCACTTCCAGTTAGATTTAATTAAATAATTGGATGCACAAAATCATAACAAATCATATTTTTATTGGTTTTATACATTCAAATCTCTGAACAGTTACTCGCAATACAGAAAAATTCATGCTTTAAATACAAGACTTTGTAAAAGTACAAAATTCAGTTCTCAAACATAATGAAAACTCATGTTTGAAGACTAAATTTAAGATCATGCACATTGGAGGACTTTTCAAACATCAGAAAACTATACTACGTTTTAGCCAATTTTAGTTGTAATTGAAAAGTCTTCCAACAGAGTAAAAATTCACACAAATTTCGCAAAATGATGAACAGCAGGAAAATATAAACGAAAAACCATGAGGTACGTCTAGCATATACAAAATTGATTACAAATACACAGATTACATATTTAATAAATATTGCAGGCCGTGTATGGCCATGTATTTGTTTTACAACCATCTGCCATAAAATAGTTGCCAGTTAACTTTTTCAAATTGAAAGCTTTAAAACATTTCAGTTTTTCTTTCTTGACGTTACAACAAATTTACTGAACGAACGCATTAGAAAATTTTTAAAATTTATCTTTATGAACAATATGGTAGTCTAGATGATTAACACCAATGGCTGAGTGGTTAAGCTCTCTGAAAGATGGTAGTCCGGCATTGGTTTGAATAAAGCCGAATAGAATATTTGCATGGTTGCATTTCGTGGTTATCCCCATTTGTACCTAGTTAACCTTTGAACCTTTTAAAGCCAGTTAACCAGAAGTAACCTATAAAGCCATTTGACTTCTAAAGCCAGAAACCAACCAGTTGACCTCTGAAAGTCCTCCACGAAGGCCTGTTTTCCCCGTAAGCAGATACCCGTCATATGCTTTGCCGTGTTCAATAACCTAGATACTTAACATATTAAGGAAATATAATTTAAATTATGCTCAAGATTATACATACATAAAATAAAAATGTGCGAAATGTGTCGCAGGAATGGAAATTAATGTGTTTTTATGCATCTATCAGATATCAAGTTCCTATTGCAAATACATTTTTGTACATAACAGTAACTTTATGCAAATTATTTTTGTCTAAACCTACTAAATATATCAGTTCTTAGTTAAGATACTGTTTAAAATATTAATGCAATTTAAAATACTTTCAATTTTGCTTAGTCATCGGTTAACCATTTAAGGAAATAATTTTATGAAAAGCTACAACAAAATTTGTTTATATGCATCTATCAGATATCAAGTTCCTATTGCAAATACATTTTTATACACAACAGTAACTTTATGCAAATTATTTTCATCTAAATCTATTAAATATATCAATTCTTAGTTAAGAAACTGTTTAAAATATTAATGCAATTTAAAATATTAATTCAATTTAAAATACTTTCAGTTTTGCTTAGTCATAGCTTAAACATTTAAAGAAATAATTTTATGAAAAGCAACAACAAAATTTGTAAAAGGTCATGCAGCTTGTGAAATACTATATTACATGTATTTGCATACGTACTTATTTATGTATTCTGTTAAAGGGATATATAGTATATGCATTCTGACATGCATGTAATGGAAGAAGATTCAAAACACAAATACTGAACATTTAGTAAAAGCATATATATGCAGAAAATATATAACACAACAAACTTAACAACATTCGAAGGATTATAAGTCTTATTTCTGCAGAACCATATAAGCTGGAAATGCAGCATGTATAAATAAGAAAGTATAATGAAACAATCTTCTGCTTAACGAAATTGATTAACAAAAATAATGAAGCATCATATAATTATATTTTCTTAATGAATATTATGTTTAATCGATGTTTCAAGATCATTGTTCTCATGTAGAACATTTTGAAATTAAAAAGGTGAGGTGCAATTTCCTCGATTTCTGAATGTAATATTTCAGATACTGCAAGCTTCGCTAGCAAAAATTTAATTTGCTAATTTTAAATAAATAATCAGATTTCATAAAGAGTTATGAAGTACAAAAAAGTATTAGAGTTCATTGTAGATTGGTGCTTGTTACAGAATTTATGTAAATAATCCATATTACTTTTGCGATACATTCATTTGTATATTAGAATTATTTTCAGTTGTGCAGAAATAGTCTCAAGCGTAGCATAAACATCGTTTTTTCATATTTCATCCCATGAATCTTTTTCTAAACACACTTTGCAAATGAAGAAAGAATCTGCAATCTGTAGTATCTTGTTCTCTGTTTACTATTTTTATAGTATATCTGCAATAGAACAGCTGTTTCTCATCTGTAAGTCTTCCAGAAACATAAAAATTTCCAAAGTGCCTGTCTAAAATCTTTCTTTTCCTATCCGTAGACAACCGAATTTACCTACAGGTATTCATCTCACTTTCATTTTAACTTGATTTTTGTAACGTAACTGAATACACTTTCTCGAAAGCAATATAAAAACTTCTTGTATATTTCGTCCCATGATGACTCTCTTAGTTTAACAAACCTTTAAAATGCGGAAGGAACTTGAAATGCAGTTTTACTTTTCTGTTAAACATTTTGATGATGCGCCTGAATCAGAATAACTTAATTCTACACATGCGATACAAAATTGCTTCTTCAACTGTAGCTCTTGTCGAAACTTAAAATCTTCCTAAACGCATGCCTAAAATCTTTGTTTTTCCATCCATAAACGACCGGATTTATTGCCGATTTTCCAAAATAGCAGCAAACAACGAAAGGTTTGAAAAATCCAATGCGTTCTTGATTCAAACCATCAACATACCTCAGGGTAATAACAATGAGGTACGGCAAGAAACCTAGAAAATTGACACTCATCACCAGAGCCATCATCCTAGCTGTTTTAGTTTCTTGACGTACTTTATGGTTCAGCTCAAGAGCCACCACTGCTCGTTTGTGTCTCCAGGCTTCCTTGAAGATCATCGAATATAAAGTAGTAGTAACAATAAATGTTACCAACACGACAGATGCTACGGCAGCAAGTGCATATTCTTTCGTATGAGTATAATATAAATCGCATTCCTTTGAAGGATCAAACTGGTCTCCTACTCCCAGAAGAGGAAGAGAACTGACGATGCCCATTGATATCCACACAGCCAAAACGTAAGCTGAAGCATGCCTAGTTCTCATCAACCTGTGATAAGACAAAGGATGAAGGATTGCTATGTAACGATCCACAGCTACACCAACTACACATAACATCGAACATCCTGAAGTGTAGATTGTGAACCAGTATCTGAGCAGGCAACTGATACGATGGCAAGAAAGAGACCTGAAGTTGAAGTAGAATAGGATGTAATACGGTACATTCAGGCCAACCAGTAGATCTGCAGCAGCTAGTCCCAAAATGAAAACATTGGTGACACTCCGTAACTGTCGATACCTACGTAAAAGTATACTGTGTTAATCAGATAATAAAAACTACAGTTATTGATTATCTTAAAATATTGAAGACAGCTAAATATGCATAATGCTATAGAATTTTTACAACTCATTATTTACCTTACCTTGTTATTATTTTATTTGCTTATTTACTTTCATCTTAATTGATAATGCTTTGCATAGGTTGGCCAAAGAGAAACGCACAATGCATTATAGCATAGCATTGGTTTTATAAACAATATTTAAATGTTGGTATTTAACCCTATGAAATTTAAATAAAACTACGCTATTTTGATTGGATTCTTTCTTCGACACTAAATCGATCAATAAATGAAACAGACAAACACTGTAATCTGTAGGAGGTTGGCGTTCGAGTTAACGATATATTAGCTTTAAGAAACAGATAACAAGCAAATCGCTCAGAAGTTCCTTGGAATGTCCTTTCATTTTGGTCTTTAGACACTAATGATCAGTAAGATATTTCTATTGACATTCCTCAATTAATGAAAGATATTTTTAGTTCTGCGCATTCTTTGCCTCATGTCAATAGTGGATTATTATAGAAAATGGGAACAAATACAATAATTTTAATACTTCATTACTTTAATATAAATATTTATTTCTGCTTTCTTCAAAATATAAATAAATGATAAAAGATTTCCTTAAGCAAAGTTTTTTTAAGGGCTTTCGGAAGAGTTGTCTAAATGTTTTGTTTCTTAAGTATTGATCCTAGACACGCACTTCCAGTTACCAGATTTTAAAAATAAAGTAGAGAATATATAGATGCTTTAGCAATTTTCAGTTGGAAAGGTTTTCTGAGTATTAAAAAAAGTAACTAGAAAAGAAAGGAAGCCAGGTTCAGTAGTATGTAATTTCAGAAAGATATTTTATTATTATATTTAAAATATTACTGTACAAGTCCACAAAAAGTATCACTTGGGTAGATTACGCATCTATTACGTAGAGTTCAGAAGTAAAATTAAATTGAAAGATGACTATCGAGGTAGTCATCATCGGTAGGAGGGTACACAGTAAATTTGCATTATTAAAATAAGCCAAAAGATACTCATGACCATCATGATCATTGTTAACCAGTGACCAGCATGTTGACAGTTACTGGTAATCAAATTATAAGTTATCAATTCGTTCGTAAGAATTGGTTGGTGATTCGTAGTCACTTTTGATCAGTTCATATATTACTGTTGCCGGTTGGTTCAGTAAATCTAGATTTTTTTGTAGAAATTATGATTGATTACTAACAATTAGGTTTAATCAAATGGAAGCGAAACATCCATGCCTTCTCCAGGATTCAAACCCGGGCCCTTCAGTACGACAATCAGCGTCACTACTATCCTGGTTGGGCCGCGCGCTGAAATCTCATTACTTCTAGTTTATTCATTATCTTTGGTTTTAAGCCAAAAGTGTTGGCTTTTGTAAGCACGAGAGTGTGCCATCTGTTCAGTTTAATTTGGATTAATAATAGGGTCACTTACACCCTTTCTCTTGGGTATTTATAAGTCACTAGCTGTCTTTTTAGAGTTCTGGAATTGTATGCTTACTAAGAAGACCAGATCTTGTAAATTTAGAACCACCTTTTATCTTTCAGATCAGATATCTGACTTTAAGCGTGATAGCTTCGAAAACATAGACATAAAAATTACTTTAATTCTTCTGCTTATAAATGTAACAGTAATTACTATTACTAATAAATGACTAATAACGTAAGCATTGAAGAAAACGATATAAACAGAATTTATTTCTGAGAATAACAATTTGGTTTAATAAATAAAATTTTAAACAGATGTTAGATCACAGCAGTGCATTGAATATATAAATCTGTTACACAACAGCAAATTAATTTTAATTAATAATACGTTTAAGGACAAATATAAATAAGCTAAAACTTATCGCAAATTGCTTACTTTTAACTGATAAACTAATAATTTAATGCTGAAGGGAATCTGATTTTTAAGGCGAAAATTATGGTCTGTTACTTTAGGCACTTCTAGGACTTTTCATCCTCCCTCTTACGATCGTAACACGTGTCCTCATCACCACACAGGACTTTATTTTCTCCACTTTATTTGAGACTGTACTCAAATTATTCTTCATTAGTGCGATTTTCAAGACGCGAAACAGCTAAACGGAAATATATATATTAAAAAAAAATAAATAAATAAATAAATAAATAAATAAAAAAAATAAAATAAAAATAAAAAAGAAAGGAAGAAATTAGGCAGATTCTTCGAGTTCTAAGGGTTTGGACAGCGTTTCTATAGTCACATTATTGATATATTTTTTATGTTACGTTAAGTATAAGTGCAGGGGCACCTATTATTTAACCTAAGAAAGTAGGTAAAGGTCCCTTACACTATCTATACAGATTAACATCGCCTTCCCGGGGACCACGGTGCCGTTCTAGAGCCGAGGTGCTACTGTTGTTTACTGGAACTGACATTGCAAGCTCTGCCACTACTGACGTTATTATCAATTACCTCGTCTTATGTTTGGACTTGGACAGGAGGAGCATTTAAACCGCTGCCTAGATTATAATGATTGCATCTTCATTAAACCTGGCCATTTATTATATAAAGATACATAAAGCCTAGCCCCTTGCACTACATGTGAGTGCTCTATGTCCTGCTTCATGTTGTTGGCGGCGCTTATTGCTTTCCTGTGTAGTTGCCTGCACAAATATTGCATCTATGTTTAATTGTTTTGTTTCGCTATTACTGAATCACCTTTTTTTTGGCTGCATAGCTCTGGATTTCTGGTAGCTAGAAAGTCAATACTTTTCGCAATTTTATTCCTTAAGTGCTTACTTTTGACTACATATCTTAGGAAATGGGAATAAATACCGTTCTGAATTCGGATTCATTAGATGAAGTTATTTTATTAACGGGTAAGAAAAAAGAAGTGGGTGGGAAAAGGGCATGCCCTAATAAACCACGTGATTTGTCCGGTAGCATGAATTGGAAATGACTTAACTTTGAGGAAGAGGTTGTAAACTCTTCTTCCTGTATTGGCATGTCATTATTGTTGACATGAAGTTTTGGGTGTATTTTGCAGTTTTAGATTCAGGTGTGAAGCTGAACTGTGAATGATTGTTTTCACGGCTTTTTTATGTTTGAGGGAACCTTCGGAAGTACCGTTTGTTGATAGTTTGACAGTTGGTGATGAGATATGAGACACGGGGAAATCCATGACACCTTGATAAGTTTATTGGTGCCACATACCATCTGCGTGAGCTGTTATTACTACGGTTACCAAGGCAAGCTGATCGGGAAAACTCACTTCAAAAAGTCTTCAAAAAGTTCTAAAGTAACAGATTATAGTGAAATAATGGACCATCTATATGTAAAGTTTTAAATACTTACCTCAGAACTGCGTAGACGACAAGTACATTCCCTGCGATGGAAACAGCAGAAAGGACGATATCCAGTATGACTACCACGAAAATAGTTCGGCTGAGGCGGGGCTCGAAGCAAGTATTATCTTTCGATACGTTTAGCGAGTTGAGGACTTGAGATACATCGTTAGAGGTATTTCCGACAGAGGCGTTTAGCATGTCATGGGTTATAATCTAGAAAAGACGAAACTTGAAACTTGGTTAAATAAAATTTTAATTATAATGTTTCGTGGTTGAGCAATTTAAGGAACATCATTATTAAGGCCTACAATAATAGATGGCTTAAAAATTTTAACGCATGTCATTTGACGCTCAATTAACGTTTATGAGTTGTCCAAAAGTAATCAAAATAAAGAAAAAAGGACGTTGAAACAGCAGAATTTACATACGTCATAGTTCAGTTATTGCCACCTTCGTCCGTTTGCCTGATTATCTTATCTGGTATGTCTTATTAGTCAGGATTAGATTACAGTAGGGGTGGCCACTAAATGTGATGGCGATTTATGTAGCTTTTGGACATTGTTGTCAAAATATTTCTTCGTTCGGTTTGACCGGCACACTTTGACGAGAATTTTGTTTAGAAAACGCTCGTTATTTTATACTGTTTAATAATTTTTATCATGGAGTCCAGCAAAAGGCATAATGATCTGAGTCTAGTGGATAAAGTCAACTTGTTATGTTTATATTAAATTAGTTATATTCTATTGATATTTTGAGGATATCTTTTTCATCTGTTATAATCATTCAATTAATATCAAAATAGTCATGGACCAAATGTGATCATATTAAACAGCGTCTACTGCGTATACATAATATTAAACAGCGTATACATAATATAGACGCGTCTACTGTATACATAATATAGACATTGTATGAAACACGTAATAATACAAATAAATTGCATCAAAAAATAAAAGTTTCCACAGACTGTAGACTGAGTCAATATACACGGGTGTGCAAAAATTAAGGACGAAGTCGAAAAATTAGCATATCAGCTGAACGAAGAGGCAGAGCGGACAGAAAGACCAATCAGGAGATTAAGTAAGATGATGTACGGTAGCACATGCGCAGATATGCAGGTAGACGTAATGGGGGAGTGTCTGAGTAGTATAAAGCATGTTGTCGGTGTAAGATCAGTATTTCTGGCAAAGAGATTGCACGCCGTATAGCAGTTAAAATCACACCGAGTTGCTGCCTCAGCGAGAAATGGCGAATAATCAATCTGTTAGACGACATCTGGATGCTTTTACCCAAGGTCGAATCATTGGGAAGTTGGGGGAAGGCCGCAGTGTGACAAGTGTGGCTGCAGAGTTCGGAATTACTCACAGCATCGTTTCACGACTTTGGATACAATTTCAAACTACAGGAACAGCTATCCGGGGGTTTAGTAGTGGTCGTCCAGGAGGAACCACAACCGCAGATGACCGGTATATTGCCTTACAGGCCAGAAGATACAGGCGGCAGACAGCGGGAGAAATCGCTAGACACGACATAGGCGACTGGACGACCGATATCGCGTTTTACCGTGGCCAGAAGACTGCACGGTGGTGGTCTGTTTGCACGACGCCCTGTACGATGTGTACCTCTAACGCCTGCCCATCGGAGAAGGCGTTCTCTGTAGTGCCGAGAACACCGGAATTGGAGAGACAATGAATGGGGACGAGTACTCTTTACAGATGAGAGCAGATTCAGTCTGAGTAGCGATTCTCATCGCATACTCATCTGGAGAGAGCGGGAAAGCCGAAATCATCCCTCGAACATCATTGAAAGGGACAGGTATGGAGGTGGCGGTGTTCTCGTTTGGGGAGGCATCATGCTTGGTAGTCGTACAGACCTTCACATCTTCGACGCAGGTTCAGTCAACGGGACCCGTTATTATAACGAGATTCTTCTTCCATATGTGTGTCTTTTTAGAGGCGCTACGGGTCCGCAGTTCCTTTTCATGGGCGACAATGCACCATGTCATCGCACAGTAGCTGCCGAACAGCTCTTAGAGAGTGAGGATATTGAACTTATGGATCGGCCGGCACGATCTTCGGATCTCAATCCCATCGAGCATGTATGGGATTTTCTAGGCAAACGCTTGGCAGCTCGTACCTTACCACCAGTAACGATTCCGGAGCTTCGATTGGCGCTGCAAGACGAATGGGCAGCAATGCCTCAACAACTCATTGACACCCTCATTCTCAGAATGGGCAGACGCTGTGAAACCTGCCTAGCAGTCAGGCGAGATCATATCCCCTATTAAAGACTGGATGTTTCTTGCTGGACACCCATCACAGGGATGTTTCGGCCTTCAGTCGCATTGCGCTCCATGCTACTTTTTGAATAAAGCTTCTTTTTATCCCTCTGATTTCTCTTTTAGTAAGTGGTTGCTTACATTACTCATGTCCTTACGTATTGGGGATCTTACGGTATTAAATGTGTTGATTTGGAAAGCTTTTGTACAAAGTTATATTGAAAAAACCGTCTCGTCCTTAATTTTTGCACACCAGTGTATATTTGATGCAAAATCATAAAAGCAGAAATATTCTTTTTTGAGCTGAAATAGCTTTGGTTGTGACATTTTATTTTGTTTATTTAAATATTATCTTTATGCTTTACATCACGTGTTTGCTCAGTCTAAAAATTTTATCAGATTGTTAATAGGCGGCATAGTATAAACTAAGAGGCAGAATTGTAACCGTGTAACTTGTAACAGACAGTTGTTTAGTTATGTAACTGTTGCCGCACGTGCATCTAGAAAACCCATGGTCTGGAAGTTTACCGGATTGTTAGTTCAAGTTGTAAGTTCTTGATTTAGATTGGGTTTCTGATCTAGAAGTGCTAAAGTAGAAGTACTTGCATTTTATCTGGTTGAATTGTAAGATTCAGTTATTCGCTGACAATTCCAGAATGCTTATTTTTGTTCTGTAATATTTTGATTTAGCACTAACAAATTGTGAAATTGTGAAGTAAAAGGAAGTTAAGTTAAAGTTTTACTTGCTCATGTGTTTGTGCTTTCACAGTTAGTTTAAGCTACAGCTCGTACCATAGTTTTATGTTAACTTCGAAAGCATAAATATTTATTTATATATTTAATTAATTAGAAATACTACTCAAGTGTTAGCTGAGAAGCGAAAAGACTTTAAGCCTTTAAATATTTGGCATTTCTTTTAATAATATGCACACCCAAATATTTATATCTTCCGAAAATATTTTTAAATAGCTTATTTCGGGTTATGATGCTTATAAAATATTTATTTAGGTATGTTAATTCAGTTTAGTGGTCAACGCTTACTGTTTCGGTTTTTAGATGGAAGTATATTTCCCCGGATATTGTTTACTGAGATTATCCGAATTTAATAGTTAAAAAGCACTAATTAGATTAAAAAATTCTTTGAATTGGCACTTATTTTGAAATTTACGAAACAGGTTTTATATTAATAATATACATATCTGGGCATTAAAACATTAATAACAGTTAATAATCCTGTTAGTAAAATTCAATTATAAATGAATGTATATAATAAACTTCACGCAAAGCTGAAATGGCAGGCACTAGCTAAGTATAAAATCTCGTTACGAGGAGCAGGTCATGCATATAGATCATATATTTTGCATAATATTATCATTTCTTAAACTTTGGCATATCATCTTGACATTTAACTTATTTTACGTAAAATAGTACTAATTGGTTAAATTTCAGATCAGCATTTAAAAATTAAATATAATTTGTTAGGAAAATATAGTATTTGTCTCCGATTTAAACATCACATATATACTTTTATAGAAATCACATATGACAAATCTACTTTTATAGAAAGTTTTAAAACCTTTTATGCGCCTTTTTGCTTTCGATCGAGAAGTAATTTACAGAACTGGATAATGCGTAAAACTAGAACTTGATATATTTTAATCAAATATACAGGAGGAAATATTCTATATAATTTTAGTCTATTTTAATACCTAAATAAAATTTTATTAAATTTTCTTTGATTTTTTAAAAAACGTTTTTTGTTGATATGTATGGAATGAAATTCCTGCATTATTTACATATTGCAAGTTACTATTAACTCTGAAAAGATACTACAAATCATTATTTATCTTCTGAGAAATTTGAATTTTTTATTCTTATAGTTATCTTCTGGAATTTTAAGCTGTCAAAATAAAAGACGAATAAAGCCTAAAATACTTTGTGAACTTTCATTCCTTAATAGATTTTATTAAAATACCTCTTTCAGAACATGTAATGTGTATGGTGAAAGAAAACTTTAAATTCATTGCAACATTATAATTAAGTTTGACACATTTGAATAAAACATTTTCTACAATAAAAATAAATAAATAAATAAATAAATAAAATAGAAACTAACGTTGTTGCTAGGTTGGATCCTATTATATATACATTCATTTATAGTCAGTCCAGAATGAAAGTTCTAATAATTTAACATTAAAGCAATATTGGATATATTAAAATTATTTCTATTTATTTTATGAATTTTTTATTTTAAAAACTATATCAAATTATATAAATGGCTTACATTACTTGCGACTTTATTAGTTGTTTAAAGGCATCTAACACTATCAGGAAAATAAACTTACTTCAGAACAAGTTTCACATACTGTACACGTTTTTATAAAATGCTTTTCTGTCTTGCTTCTGTGAACGTTATTAACCTTCAGAACTACAATAATACATTCAGAATTTTTTTCAGTTGGTCGCATTCTATTATCATTAAATTTCAAATTTCTTCTAAATTGCTAGAAAAAAAATCGACTTTAACTGCTTGATTTTAATACTACTGGAATTTTCAATTATTGCGATTGGATTTTTAATGTTTATCCTATACTGATCTTTCTTGAAAATTACTGAATGAAAATGAAAGCATAGCAATGCTATGAAATCGTTAATATTTAACAAGAAAATAGACATGTAGACTTCATTAAAGATGTGTAAATTAGAAGTTTAAAAAACTATAATGAAAGCTGATTTATTACAATAAAACATATGAAGAATTGCAAAATAGAAAGTAAAAGTTAATATGTTTCAAAATTTCAATTTAAAAGACGTTTCCATGATTGTCAGTTGAACAATTAAAAACGATTTAAAACGTAGAAAAATGAAATAAGAATGTACTGACAGATAATCATGAATAATAAGGTAAGAACAAAGAAAGAGATGAAATGAAAAA